TTATGCTGGTTTAGTAAAGTGGCCATTATAGGTCCTCTTACAGGATCCATGACGTCACTAACCCTGAGTAATTGGCTAGTTTTCTGGTATAAGGCACGAGTTCCTCTTGTTGAGCAGGTCTTAAGTCTGATTAAAGCGGTTACCACTATGGTATGTATTCTACTATTTCTAGGGTTATTGGGCCACGCCAGTTGTTGTGGTTCAGAGGTGTCGTAGCTGGACAGCACTGTTGGCTGCTTCCCTCCTTTGGAAGTTTCCAGAATGCCTCCTGGTACCATGAAAACTTGTCTTCAAGGAGGAGGATTTCAGGTCAGTTGGAGCTCAGAGGTGTCTAGCCCTGAGTCTGAAGTGTGTGGTATCTTCCCTTGAGACAAAATCTTGCTCTATGGCTCTGGCCATCTCGAAATTCACTCTGTAGGCTTTGAACTAGCAGAAATCTCCTGCCTCAGCCTTTCAAATGCTGGGAACATTGCTGTGCATTTGCAGTTTGTCAACACATCCAATTTATCAACTTGACACAAACTAGAGACACCTCAGAAAAGGGAACCTTAATGGAGAAATTGCCTTTAGCATATTGGCTTGTAAAAGTAACCTGTGCAGTATTTTCATAATTATTAATTGGTGGAGGAGAGCCCAGCCCAGCATTGTCTGTACCATCCCTAGGTCCTGGTTTGTATAAGAAAGGTAGCTGAGCAAGACGTGAATGATAAACCAGAAATCACTCTTCCCTATGGACTCTGCTTCGGTTCCTGCCCCCAGATCCTATCTTGATGGGACTTTAGCTACTTCCAAGATCCCTGGCTTCCCTTGAGGCTGGGCTGAAACCCGGAAGCCAAGGCTGCCGTCACAGAAACAGAAACCTAACGAGAACAGGTGCGTGTCTTAAAGAGCTGTGTCTTTAGCCTGGCAGTGGTGGTGTACACCTGCAATCCCAGCACTTGGGAGGAGAGGCAGGCGGGTCTCAGTGAATTCAAGGCCAGTCTGGTCTACAAAGTGAGTCCCAGGACAGCCAGAACTGTTACACAGAGAAACCCCATCTTGAAAAACCAAAACAAAATGAAATTTAAAAAAAAAATTTAAAAATTATATTTTTAATTGACATAAGATTATGCTTATTTATTGTACACCATATGGTTTTTCAACATGTGTAGACATGTTTGACTCTAAGCAGGTGTTTCTCTTTAGAGATTGATCCATTCTTTGTGGGAAAACATCCGCATTTTTCTTCTAGCTTTTCTGAAATATATCGTACTTTGTCGTTACCTATAGTTCTTCTCTGTGCCACAGCACACACAACACATTTCTTCGACCTACTTGTGGCTTGGTACCCACAGGCTTGGCTACCCTCCCTCCCCAATGCTCCCCAGCCTCAAGAGACCACCACTCAAACTCGAGCACATTGTCATAAGTGGAATTTCAGCACTTGGGAAGTAGAGAAAGGTGCTGCAGGAATGCAAGCTGGCTTCAAGTGCACAGAGAGTTCAAGGCCAGTCTGGGTTAGATGAAACTTTATCTTAATTTGAGAATAAGAGTGTAGCAGGGCAGCCGTGGTGCACGCCCTTAATCCCAGCACTTGGGAGGCAGGGCAGGCAAATCTCTGTGAGTTTGAGGCCAGCCTGGTCTACAAGAGCTAGTTCTAGGACACGCTCCAAAGCTACAGAGAAACCCTGTCTCGAAAAACCAAAACCAAAACCAAAAAAAAAAAAAAAAAAGGAATTAAGCGTATAGACACACACACATACATACATATATATATACAATTTGAAAATATGTAAAAAAGGAAAAAAAAACCTGGGAGCAGGTATGACATACTTCTGCAAGTGTCTTCCATGTCAAAAGAGGTGTGTGTTAGGCAGGAAAACCTGGGGGTTATTCAGCATGCTGAAAGAACCTTGCAGTTAGGATAGAGTGGATAGGTCTGTGGGGGCAGGGCCTGGTCTAGGTGGGGCGGGTACAGGGCCCTTCTGGATTCCTCTCTGTCTTCCTCACTTTCCGAGGCTGGCTTCTTTCTCATTGCTGGCTTGGGAACGGATTGGCCAGTCAACAGTAGAAACCAGACAATTTGAGGCTTGTGACGAAGAGGCACCCTACTTGGGAGTGCAGGGGTGTGTGGGGGAGCAGTGTGCTGTGTAGTAGAAGAAGGGAAGAGGATGAATTCAGCATTCATTCTGGAGACAGGAAGAACTTCTGCTTGGACGGTGACGTTTGAGAGATTCTAGATGGGCTGGGACAGGAACCAGAGAGAGGACCTGTGGTGTTACAGTCTTGCCCTGAGGACTTTGGGCGGAAGTGAGATTAGACTGGATTGTCAAATCTGTCTCAGCGTGCGTGGCCAGCCCAGAGCAGCAAAAGCATATTCATATTCTTGTTTCTGTGCCTGGGAGAGCATTGGTTACTCTCGGGTTGGATGTTTTGACTTTTCCCAGTTCCAAAAGGAAATAGGAAAAGGAAAAGGCCGGTGTGTGGAAAGTCCCCTGGAGTTTATGAAGAGCGCTGGTGGAGAGCGTGGCTTTTGTTGCCCTGTGTTTTGTTCCACAGTCGTGTCCTACTTAAACTGTGACTCAGGGTTTGGCCAGTACCGTTGGGATCCCTGCACCCAGTTTTGAGATTTTAAAGAGACCACTCTGTGTACAAAATGCTGCTTGCCCTGCCTTCAGAGAAATCCCTGAGGCCGAGGCCAGACTTCCCTACCTAGCCTGACTGGTTTGTAGCTGGAGGACTTAGCCCAAGGGCACCCAGGCTTCCTCTAGCAGCTGTCTCTCCCTCAAGGGCTGCCTTGCCTCCTCCTTCTAGGGGAGGTCAGTTTTTCAGAAGTGTGCACTGGGGCGGGGGTGGGGGGCGAGGAGGAGGCTGCAGGCCTTGATTGCAGTTGCCTGATCTGAGCTCTGTACACGCTTAGCTGGCTGAGTCTGGCTTTGGCTTCTGTCCTTCCGGTAGGGGCCAAAGGCTGTATTTCTTCCCTATCGTGACTCCAAACATTCCTTACGTGTTTCCTCTGTTACAAAGACATTCCCTGCATGCTTATTCCTTTCAAAAGGAAACCCAAAGATTTTTTTTTTTCCCAGTTAAAGTTTGTGTGTGTGGAGGAGAAAGATGTGTTTTAGTATTTGTGCCGTATGGATGTGTGGCGCCATGTGAGGGGGTTTAGAAGAGAGCATTTGAAATCTTCCTGACACCTATGATTTTGACAGTGCAGTGTTGGTACATGTAAGCTCTGGTTAGCAGACTCTAAAGCCCCTACTCTGTTCCCCAGTTGCCTGGCTTCCTCGAGTTCAGGAAGAGGCGTCTCCCACCCTTTCCCTTGCAGCACACTGGGTCCCGAGATCATCTAACGACTTTTTGTCGTTAGTTGGGTGCCTGTTCACACTGACTGTTTATTGAACCACAGAATGAATGGTTTATAACCTAGGCCACCCCAGTTGAACTTTGGAGGCCAAGTGCTTTTGCCCCGAGGATGCCCTTGGCTGAGGTCACAGCAGAAGCAGCCAGACAGTGTAGGTTTGAATCATTAGGAAGTTTTGGAATTATGGGATTCTTCCAGAAGATTTATCTCTGCATACTTCCGAGTTTCACTTCTCACAATTGCACAAGAAGTAGCCAGTCTGGGACTGGGGAGTAAGACTCGGTCCCGTTCCCACTTCTGCAACAGGGGAACTCCTGGTTTCGCTTTATGACCCTGTTTAAGGGTCACCTCCTCCAGGAAGCATGCAGCCTGTCTTTAACCCTAGCAGCTTCCAAGTACAGACGTTCCTAAGGCCTTAGTATGAGCTGTAGAAGCATCATGCTCCTGCAGGGCTGCAAGTCCACTCAGGAAAGCGAGCAGATTAGATACAGATGTCCCAGGTGAGCCCGTAACATACGGCACAATGGGAGACACTGATGGTGGAGCCTTCTCCAGAAAGAGCAGCTGCCCACTGACTAGAACTCCTTCTACCTGCCCCTGCCAACCAAGAGGCCAAAGTAGAGCTTCTGCTTCTCAGAGAGAAGCCTGGGCTGGGAGATAGCACCAGGGTGCAGTGCTTCCTGAGAGTATGTGATGACCTGGGTTTACTCTTCAACAACCCCACCAAGGAAAAAAATGCGATGGAAGGGGGCTTTTAAAGTATAAGAACCTCTTGGTTTCAGCTGGGTGTGGTACATTGGGGAGGCAGAAGCAGCATGTGGGCACAGTCCACCACGAGGAGCATGTGGCATTTGCAGTCACGAAGCAGACAGGGGTAAATACTGGTACTCAGTGCACTGTCTCCATTTTACTCAGTCCAAGACTTCAGTCCGTTGGACTGGTGCTGTCCTCACCCTGGGTTGACCTTCCCAATCTCCCATCCATACTAGAGACTCCTTCATAGACCTTTTCAGAGGCCTGTCTCCTGGGTGGTTCTCGATGTTGTCAAGGCGACGATCAATGTTAACTATCACACTAAATGAGATACAACAAGCCCCTCCTGACTTCACGTATGTTCAACTGAGACCTTAAGGGAAATCATAGACCAAACAAACAACAGTTCTGAGCCAGAAGTTTGCAGCCTTTCAGGCGATGGTTGTCCCCTTAAGTTGGCCGAGTGCTCCTGATGGGCCATGATTCTGTCTGCATCCCCAGACAGCTTCAGCCAACAACCCTCCTGGTGGGTATGCCCTACTTTGGGGACTGTGTGCTTGAGTGTTACTCCGATCCGGCACCTCTTGACACAGAATTAACATGTCTTCCTTTAGAGTTATTTACCTGGAGTCGAGCCACTCCTTCAGTTTTTTTCCACACTTCCAGCCATGTAGTGTAGCTGGGAAGGCCCCTACTTCCTACATTCTAGATAGCTCTGTTCATTTCTCTTCCGTCATCACCTCCTCAACCCATGCTGGGCTCTCTGTTTCTGCTGTGTGCGGTGTCGGTTGCTGTGAGTTTCCCCGATGGCTCAGTGACCTTTCCCTTGCTGTCTGCTTAGCCACCTCGGATTTGGGATTTGACCTGCGGACCAGAATGATTGTCAATTCTCTTCCCCCGACAGGAAGAGATGACAGCAGGATCACTTGAAGATGCAAACCAACCCCATGTCCTGAGGAAAACAGCCCTGTGCCATTTTATGTGAGTTTTTATCATCTGCCATTTTATGGAGCCTTTTATCATCTTCCTGTGAGTTGTAAGAGGAAATTGGACAGGGACAGGGAGGGAGCTTGCCGCGCCTGCATCTGGAGGTATTTGCGATTGTCAGGGGGATAGTGAAGAGGAATCTGGACTGTTCCTGGAAGGTCCAGCCCTTGTCTTTGAGAAAGGTGGAGTGATAGAAAGGGCCAAGAGGAGGAAACTGTGTCATTAAGATAGTCACAAGTTGGGGGCTGCAGAGGTAGCTCAGCGGTGAAGAATGTTTGGCATGCTTGCAGAAGACCAAAGTTCTGTCTCCAACATCCACATCTGGCAGCTCAGAACTACCAGTAATCCCACCTTCGGTGGCATCCAACACCTTCTTCTGGCCTCTGCGCGCCTAGCGTACATTCGCACAGACATACAAGTACACAAGGATTAAAAAGTAAAAATAGATCTCTGCCAAGATTACAATAATCTGTTGTTAATTAGTATTGCTAACAACTTGAATACAATGGCGTGTAGATGTTAGCCTTGTTTGCCAGCACTGTGGCGTTCTCACAAATGGTTGAGACTAGGATCCCTATGCAGTGGTGGAAGTCTTCAATCTGAGCTGTTTGGGAGGTGAGGAAAGAGAAGTTTGAGGCTAGCCTCAGCTACAGAGTAAGCACAAGGCCACGTTGGGTATCATAGCAAAAGTCTGCTGTCTGTTGCCCTCCCTCTTCACTCACTTCCCCTCTCTTCCTTTTGTTCCTTCTTCCTGTAGAGTACAATTCAATGACTTTAGGTACACTCATTGTACAACCGTCCCATCTAAATATTACTGTAGCCTTCTTCATTATCGGAAACTGAAACTCTCTATCTATTGAACACTCTCGCTTCCCCACCAGCCCTGAAAGCTGCTCTTCAGCTTTGTTCGAGTCTATGACTCTGACTGCTCTCCCACATCATCTCTGTGTCAATCACCATTTGTCTGTGACTGGCTTTGTTCACTTAGCTCAGTGTGCTCAGTGCTCAGTGTACCCTGTAGCGGATACCTCACATAGGTCCTTTGTGGAGACTGCCCAAGTATTTTGTGCGTATGGAGCACACTTATTTGCTCATCTGTTGATGTGTGTTTGGGTTGCTTCTGCCTTTCAAATATTGTGGATGATAGTGCCTTGAACATGGATGTGCATACATTGCTGTATTATATAAGAATTTTGTGATCAACTATTAGGGGAGTTATATTGTTTTCGATGATGATTACACCATGCTACATTCCCACTGCCAATACACACGAGTTTCCTTGTTTCCATGCTAGGTACTTTTCATTTATTCATTCTTTCACTAATAGCCATCCTAATAAGTATGACCAGTGTCTTTATTCATTTATAGTTTTGAGACTGGGCCTCACTACGTAGCCCAGGCTGGTGCCTGCCATTGCCGTCCTCCTACCCCAGCATCCTGAGTGCTGAGATTATAGGTGGAAACTGTAATCTCACTGTGGTTTGGATTTGTATTTTTCTAATGACCTCTGAATATCTTTCTCTATGTCCGTTGGGTACCAGAATAGCTTCTGAGAAACTTTTCTTGCTGCTGTGGTTGTTGTGTCATACAAGTTTTTTGGTGGCAGTTCCTTCCCAGACACATGATTCTTGATAGTTCCATTCCATTTTGTGGGTCACCCTTCCACTCTCTTGAGGGTATCTCACAGTGCAAAATCATTTCTGTCTTTTTTGCTTCTTTCCAGGACATCGTCCATCCTAAACTGGTCTCATATTTACTATGTAACCAAGGACAACCATGGACTTCCGATCCTCTTGCCTCTTCCTCTAAGTGCTGAGACAATCGGTACACGTCATCTTTCCTGGTTTTATATGGTGCTGAGGGCTTTGGGAATGCTAAATAGGCATGTGAGCTATATCCTCAGTCCTTCATTTCTAGTTTTGATAATCTTGCTCACCTTTGGTTGATTTTGATGTTAGGAACCTAGTTAAGGCCATCTATCTAATTTAGGGTCAGGGTCTAAGTCTTGATCATTTATGTTATCCTCAAAGGTTTTAGCCTCCTGTCTTTAATGTCAGGCATTCCCACTAAACTAAGTACTAAGTAGCTGTTCAGTCCAGACTGGCCTTGAATTTAACTCTCCTGGCTTCCGCCCGCTTGATTGTTGGTGTGGGCTACCAAACCTAGATTGGCCTGTGCATCTTGTCCATCCTCCAAGCACCTCTTTACTGGATGCTGTTAGTTCATTTTACATATTTCGAGGAGAGATGTGATTTGAGCAGCTGTTACCCTGAACACCTACTCTGCCTGTGAAATTATCAGCCGAAGGCCTTTCCAGGATTGTGCTGGAGTCCTTGGATTCACAGATTCTCTAAGTTGGAAGGAATTTTTTTTGACTCAGGTGTTTGTCCTCATACATAACCTACAGGAACACCCCCGGTGAGATGGTTTAGACTACAACTCTCTGATTGAGAGCCACAGAGCCTCTTGTATTTACGTTATTGCCTGTGTCTCGGTATCTATCACTAAACTGAAGATAAAATTAGGTCCTTTTGGTTTTAGGGTGTTTTGTTTCTTTGTTTTTTTAAGATAGGATTTTTTTGTTGTTGTTGTTGTTTTACAGCCTTGACTGTCCTGGGCCCTTTGTAGACCAGGCTGGCCTTGAAGTCACAGAGATCCCCGCCCCTTGCCTCTGCCAACTGAGTGCTGGATTAAAGGCCTGCACCACCGCACACTGCTAGTTTTAGATTTAAATGAGGTGGAGCCCTTGTGACAGGTCGAGTACTCCCTGCTGGTGTCTGAAGATCTTTTTCAGATTCCCTTTATAAAGACCTAAAGACCTGAGGTTCAGAGTAGGGGCAGTGGATCTTAGAGGCCTGACCCTGGCAGTTTCTCCTCAACGTAGGCTCAAGATGGCGGCGGATTCCCAGTCCATCTGGACTCTGCTCTCTGCTGACCTGGGTGACACTTTTCCCTCCTCCAAGCTTCCCATTTTCTGATAGTTGTCTCCCTCCTCCACCCCACCCTCCAGTAAGATTACTTTGCTGACTGAGCTCTGAGCTTGGCTCACTCCCTTCAGGGTAACAGATCAATTAAGAAACAGATGCCTACTTGTACCCTAATGGAGTTGCTCCAGGAATCCCTACCCTTTCCCCTATCTCCTTTATTGGCCCTGTGCTACCACCTGCCTGACATTCCACACTGGGGGCCCCAATTACCACCCACCTATCTTCCAGAGAGGGACCCAGTTTGTCCCTCCAGGGATTTAATCATCAGGTCTGGAGCCTGGATTTCTTATACCTGGGGTCCCGCCTGGAGATCTGCATCTTGGAGATGGTTAGAGACAGCCAGATGTCGGTAATTGTCCGCATGTGTTTAAAGCCAGAGAGCATTATGGGTGAGGTGCTGACTCCGGTTCACTCAGGCTTACTCCAGGTGTTCCTAAAATCCCTTCAAATTTCAGATATAGTTGCTTGTCTTTTACAGGCTCACTTTGCCCATCAGTGCAACTAGGAAATGAAGATGAACCTTGCAGTGAGCTGCATGAGATTCCAAGCCCTTGGCACTTGGCTGTTGCCACCCAGAACCGAAATGTTCAATGATCACTGGCCATTGTCACCCTTCTTGTCTCTGCTTACTGGGTCCGTGCTGGTGGTAAAGAGAATTTACTTTGTCTTTGATGGATAAGGAAGTACATTCAAAACTTAAAGCCCTGCAAATCCCACTCTTTAACTTCCGGTTTCCCCTTCTTCGCCCGGGAGTCCAGTTCCAGGAAGTCGAGATTTGTGGGTAGAGTGAGACCAAACACCTACTTCTCCTTTGCCCTCTATGTCCTCACTGTCAGCTCCAGTCAGTGTGCTCATAAGGGGACTTGGCTGTTGGAAGGTTCTGCTCTTAGCCCTTCATTGAATCTGTAGGTTCATCCTTATAGCCGTTAAAACGTGTTGGTGTTGATTCCTGCCTTCCCCATTCTAAAGGTAGGGAAACGGAGGCAGGGTAGCTAGATAACATCCCAGCATGAGACGGAAATCACCAGTGGCGCGCCAGAGCCCGCATTTACAGCCAGGTGCCTCTTGTTAGAGCTTCTGGGCCTGCACTGGTCTGCTCTTCCGCCTAGAGGCCATCACCACCTCTATCTCTGGGGCTCTAGTGCTTAGTCGCCAGGCCAGCGCAGAGGACCTCTGGGCATCAGAGTCTTTATCAGGGCGCCTGCGGCAGGTGTGCTGTGCAATCAAGGAGGCCTCTTGGAGGTGAGCCGAGGACCTGGAGACTCAATTGGAAGACTGCAGATCCTATCAGGCATCCTCTGGCAGCTCCCGGTGCCTGTTCTTCATTCTTGTGGAGAGACACTGGATGATCATAGTGCAAAAGGCAGAGCTTGTTTGGAATTTGCGACTATTGGTCTTTTATAGAGGTGGCCCTGTTTCGGTGGCTCCGACGGATTCTGCTCTCCTCCATTTCAGATTCCGGGGCACGGGTCTACCTTTAGAAGGGAAGTGCAGGGGAACCACTCATACCCAACTTTGTCCTGGTCCGTAATGACAAACAGATGCCTTTTTGCTGGTTGGGACTTTAGGTAGAGGGAGTGGACTGGCGGGAGGCTCATTCCGGTAACTCCTGTAGGCCATGGACAAGGGAAACTTTTATGCCACACTTCTGATAGCAAAATTACATCCTTCTGTCCTCACACATGCAGTGGAGTTTCAGTGGAAAGCTGCTTACAAGAGCAAAGCCTCGAACAAGTTTTCATTAAGGAATATTTGTAATCTTGGCCTAGAAATCCCAGGCTGCACTTAGACACCACAGCCCTAGCTCCCTAGGACTCGAGCCTACGACTAAGACCAAATTGTGACCAACTAGGACTGTGCAGAGTTGCATGGACCTTCTTCACATGACAGGCTTCACACTAACCTCACAGAACTGCACCCTGGTGAATTTTGAGTATCCCGGTCATTGTCCAGTGCCCTGCCCTATTGCCAGGCTTGATACACTGATAAAGCATTCTTCCTGTTCTC